CACGAGGCTGGCGACCAGGGCAGCAGCAGTTCGTCGCAGACAAACCCCCGACCCTGTCCCCAAGGCCCCCTTTTCTCTGACTTCGTAGTGAGCTGAAGCAGCCCAGCCGGCTCTTCTTGTTTCACGGTCCCCAGCTTTAACAAACGTCCTCTAAACTCCATCTGGACTCATGTTGTGAAATCTTTCCTGCACGAAATAAGGCACCCACACCCTCCTGGCTGGCCCTGGGGAGACCCCATTCTCGTACGCAGGTCCCCTTTCCCATAACAGCGGGTGGAGGGGCTGGCGAGCAGGGGCTCCGGGGTTTCCTGGTTTTGCTGCTCACGGAGAGCAGGAGGCAGCTCAGGGAAGCCGGGGTCCCACAGCCAGGGCAGGAGAGTCGTCACGGGTGAACCCACATCTGGGCAGAGCAGCCTGAAGTCCCCTGTCGGTTACACCCTGGGTTGTGTCACAAACTCAGACTAGCCTGGAGAGCTTCCAGGGGACCCAACCGGCACCCCCGCCGCCCGACACCCGCGAGGACCTTGCTTGAACACTGCATGGCCATCGCCTGACCTCCAGCTGCAACCAGGCTGAGCAGGCTGCTCCGTGGCACCCAGCACGGGGGGCAAACGTTTTGGCCACGTGCCCACTGGCCAAGCACCAGACGGAGCCTGCACTGGAGCCACAGCATCCTGGGCCCCGAGGTGGCCTATGAGGCCGGTGGGGCCAGGCTCAGGACAACCTGAGCCGACACCTCCTGTCCCCCCAGCAGTTTCTGTGACTTTCCTTGGCCCTGCGAGGAACAGGCGAGGTTGCCACACAACCGAAGGGGTCAAAGTCAGGAACCTCCACGGCCCCGGCCCCAGGTCTGGCCACACCAGTCAGCACCACCCCTGCCACATGTTCTGGCGCCGGAACGTTGAGGTCTGTCCTCTGGAGGCAGGGAGACCGCTCTGCCCCCTCCTCAGGGAAGGAGCTGTGAACCAGGGGCTGCTCTAGGCTGGGGGTGGGGGTCATGTGACCTCTCCTCCATCCTGGGCCCTGCAGGGCAGCAAGGAGTCATACCTGCACAGCAGCTGCCCGCACATTCCTTGCCCCCTCTGGGCCTGTTTCCTTAAATTATAAAACGAGAACACATACAAACAGATCTCCTAGGATTATGTTGAGGATTAAATTACTTAGTGTCCACACCCTGATCTCTCCCGACACCCGTGTTCCCTGCCCGCCTCCAGCAGTCTCTCTTCCCCAGGTACCAGCAGTCCCAGCCCTGTCCTCACATCCGTACTCCACATTCTGTCAGCTCTCAGCTCTCCCCGCAAAACAAAGCCAGAACCCAACCCGGCCCTGGGGCTCCTGCAGCCACAGGGAACCTGTTAAGACCAGTCAGGTCACACCCCTCCTCTGCGCTAAACCCCTCAAAAGAGGCGTGGTCCACAGTCGACTTGATCTGCTTCCAGTTTCTCTATTTTCATGCCTCCCTCCATCTCCCTTCACTCCAGCCTCACAGGCCTCTTTCCCCTTTTCCTCGAACCCAGCAGCCACATGCCCACCTCGGGGCCTCCGTCCAGATATCACAAAGCTCCCGTCCTCACCTCTGCTGATCACTGATTTAAAATTGCAGACCCATCCCCCCCACCCCCCATGCACTCTGGACTCCTCCCCTTCACCTGGCTCCCCGTCTCTCCTCCCCAGCAGCTGCCTCCAAACCCGAGAACTAGCTCTGTTTCGTTGCCTGCTTTTTGCTCCAGCACTAAGAGATTCAGCACACAGTAGGTGACACATGAGCATCCGCCATTACTATTTCTCACTCTGTGGTGGGGGGAGGGCAATGGAGCAAAGGGTAGGCCCGCATGGGGGTGAGAGCCCACTTTTTGCAAGGTCATGAGGACTTGGTGAGATGAGGCATGTGAGCAGCCTGGCACCAGGAAGTCTGGCACACAGTAGGCACTCAAAAAATGCCCCTGATCCTAGAATGAGGGTATTCCCCTAATAGTCCTGTTCAAACCCCCAGCTCCATCTGTTCTGACTGAGCTCTAGTTTGGGCTTAAAAGTGTCCCTCATAGAGGTGACTTCAGGTCAAGGGCACAGAGCTGGTCTGACACACAGTAGGCGCTTTGGTCTCGGCTATTGTTGACAGTGCTCCCCCCACCCCACCTCCAACCTGACCTAGTCTGGCCAGCAAGGCTGCTCCCAGCCAGGCCTGGTGTCCCCGCCCAGCCCGCGGCAGCAGCAGGAGGCAGGACTTCCCAGGATCCCAGCCAGGCCCCTCCTACTTGTTTACATAGCCAAGAATAAAGAATGCCCAGACCCTCCTCTCCCCTCGGAACCTCCTGAGCCAGGCGACCAGAAGTGCTCCGGGGCCTGGGACGGGACAGGAGTCACAGGGTCAGATCCGCTGGCCGAAGCCCCCCACCCGCTGCGCCTGCCTCAGTGTCCCAATCCAAGAAATGGGTTCCCCGAAACTCGGGCTTAAAAACGAACATTCAATGTGGCTCAGGACGCTGCCTGGGCACCGCGGGGGCTGCCCTCCCACCCCCCGAGGCTGGCTCTGCCAACGGAGAGCTCGAACCCGAGTGGTGGCTGCTTATCTGGCCCAGGGAGGCCCATTCCAGCCGGAGGTGACTTGGCAGTGCCCGGCTCTATCGCTTCCGGAGTCCATCTCAGGAACAGGCCCTGCGGCCTTCTCTGGGGGGACCCCTAAAGGGGGGTGCCGAACCCTCCCCCGGAGACCAGGCGGGTGGGCGGGGCTGTGGGACCGGCCTGGCTGAGGACGGGCCCTCCGGGGTGGAGGATGGCCCGGCCCCTGGTCAGGAG